TCTGTATATCGTCTGGTTCTTCCCCTGAGTGTTGGGCGTCGGACAGATCCCCTGTTCACTTCTCGAAGCACCATTCTCTTCAGACCATAATGATCTACCTGTGCCTCCGCATTGTTCACTGGCCCCCAAATGAGCCTTACAAAATCTTTGCTTTGCATCTTCTTCTTTGTTCGTCTTCGCGTTCACTGGTTGTAAACTCCAGTGGGAGAAGTTCTGGTTGTTTGTTCACCTCCGGACCTTAGTCTTGTTCCAGAACACGAGTGTGCGTGCATCTGTTGTACAGATCTGGCTTATCTGCAGACTGCTGGTTCCTTGCCTCTCATGCAACAACGTTGACGAATGTCTCAAATTAGTTGACTCATTCGACATGGTTGTTACGGCGGGCGGGGGTGGAGGTGGGGTGTAGTCGGTATATTCTTGTTTTTCCCACAGTGGGGCCAGAAACCCTATGAGGAGCTTACCATGCATCAATTCACCACCAACTTAAGCAGAACCAGCCAGTCTTTCTGTCTGTTCATTTCCCAATGTACTTGTATGCCTTTCTTCAGATGAATGTTAGCGGTTGTGGGTGGATATGGATACCCACTGCTACCTTTGATAACAGATGAAATGGGAGAAGACAAAAGGGAAGACAGAGAGAGAATCTTCATGCAGACCCACAAACACCTGGAGTCACCAAGTGTAAACAGAAATCCAGTCACCAAGATAAATGAAGGCGGGTGATATCTGCAGTAAGGGGCCTAAAAGTTGCAGTATGCTGAAGAAGAAGAGGAAGAAGAAGAAGAAAAAAGACATATGGTAGATGGTATAAGACATATGGTAGGTAATATAAGACATGGTAGATGGTATGAGACACATGGTAGATGGTTTAAGACATATGGTAGTTGGTATAAGATATATAGTAGATTGTACAGGACCTGTTAGATGGTACAAGACATATGACAGATTGTACAGGACCTGTTAGATGGTACAAGACATATGACAGATGGTACAAGACATGGTAGATGGTACAAGACATGGTAGATGGTACAAGACATGGTAGATGGTACCAGACATGGTAGATGGTACAAGACATGGCAGATGGTACAAGACATGGCAGATGGTACAAGACATGGCAGATGGTACAAGACATGGCAGATGGTACAAGACATGGCAGATGGTACCAGACATGGCAGATGGTACAAGACATGGCAGATGGTACAAGACATGGTAGATGGTACAAGACATGGTAGATGGTACAAGACATGGTAGATGGTACAAGACACATGGCAGATGGTACAAGACATGGCAGATGGCAGATGGTACAGATGGTACAAGACATGGGCAGACATGGTATGGTACAAGACATGGCAGATGGTACAAGACATGGTAGATGGTGGTAGATGGTACAAGACATGGCAGATGGTACAAGACATGGCAGATGGTACAAGACATGGCAGATGGTACAAGACATGGTAGATGGTACAAGACACATGGTAGATGGTACAAGACACATGGCAGATGGTACAAGACACATGGCACAAGACACATGGCAGATGGTACAAGACATGGTAGATGGTACAAGACATATGATAAATTGTATAAGACATATGATAGATAATATAAGACACATGGTAGATGGTGTGAGACATATGGTAAATCATATCAGGCATATGGTAGATTGTATGAGACATGGTAGATACATATGATAGATGGTGTGAGACATATGGTAAATCATATCAGACATATGGTAGATTGTATGAGACATGGTAGATACATATGATAGATGGTATGAGACATATGGTAGATGGTATATGTCATATGGTCAATGGTATATGACATTTGATAGATGGTAAATGACATACAGCAGGTGGCATTTAAGCTTTGACAGATGGCTGACATTTACTAAAATGTTAAAGCAGATATAAAGTACTCACTGATGCAATGTTTATGTAACAGATTTACTGTTGCACAGTTTATATGAGGTTTACTGCTGCAAGGTTTACATAACAGATTGACTGTTGCAAAGTTCATAAAAAAGACTTACTATGCAAAGTTTATTTACTGATCCAAAGTTTTAAATGAGAAATTCACTGATGCAAAGATTATATAAGAGATTTACTGATGCAAAGATTATATAAAGAGATTTACTGATGCAAAGATTATATAAGAGATTTACTGATGCAAAGATTATTTAAGAGATTTACTGATGCAAAGATTATTTAAGAGATTTACTGATGCAAAGATTATATAAAGAGATTTACTGATGCAAAGATTATTTAAGAGATTTACTGATGCAAAGATTATATAAGAGATTTACTGATGCAAAGATTATACAAAGAGATTTACTGATGCAAAGATTATTTAAGAGATTTACTGATACAAAGATTACATAAAGAGATTTAATGATGCAAAAACTATTTAAGAGATTTACTGATACAAATATTATATAAAGAGACTTACTGATACAATGCTTATATAATAAATTTACCGATGCAAAGTTTAAAAAAAAGAGACTTACTTATGCAGACGACTGCCAACAACCTCACAGGAATGTCCGGCTGGTCACAGTCCGGAAACAGAGGCTCTATAACGTAGTAGGCAAACGTGAGGGCCACAATGGCCTGAGAACAAGGCCGCACAATCATACACTCCACCCACAGCCTAAGAAAGGCCAAAAAAGGCCCAAAAGCCTCAAATATATAGGCATAATCGGCCCCGGAGCGGACAATTGAGGTTCCCAGCTCAGCGTAGCAGTAGGCACCAATCATTGAGTAGACGCCTGACAGAAGCCAGACAATCAAGGACATGCCCACACTGCCAGAGCCTTGTAGTACTCCTTTGGGACTGACGAAGATTCCTGAGCCGATGATGCTGCCAACAATGACGGTGATGCCGTTGAGGAGGCTGAGGTTCTGTTTCAGGACAATTCCTTCGCTCTCGCCATCTACCTTTTTCACCATGGGCTCTAACTCTATCTCCATCTTCTTGGCGTCTGATTCTTTTGGCATAGTGTCATCCATCTTGCAGTGGTTGTGTTGAGGCTGGTCTCTGCTGAATGGGGGGATGGTTCAGTTTTAGCTTCAGGAGGATTTATCAAGCTGGGGTTGGTGACCAGCCGTAAAAAAATAGGAATCTGGAGATACAGAGGAAAAAGAATTTATTTTCAAATATTTTCTAATTTATCTGCAAGATTGTAAATACAGATACAGATAGACAGAAATAACATGGCTGGAGACGCAGAGTTTTACCAGCGCATGTTCTTTCAGTTAATGAGTATGCTCAGGAAGTTAGAGATAGGCTGGATCCAGACAGTCAGTCTCTGATGCTGTTGGGGCTGACGCATATTAGTTTCATATTTGTGCTAGAGCATGCAGGTGTGCCAGGAAATGAGCAAGCGGATAGGTTTGCAGGTAACGCTACTATAAAATGAAGGATCGATGTGCCATGGACCAGGATGACATACTGAATGTTCTGCAAGAATTAAGAAGTTTGTGAGAACCAAGTGATGACTGAATCTGCAACCATTTCAAGAATGCAAGAAGAACAAGCAGATCTCAGGCTTCTTAACACCACTGGCACTATCACATTTCATTTTCTCGTGAGCCGTAATGAGAATAATTTAATGCAGACACCAAAATTACATCAAGACTAACGCAACCACAAACAATGCTCGCATCACTTAAGGGGGACTACGTGGTCTCGAGGCTTGGCGTCCGCCTCAAGTGCTGGAGGTCCCGGGTTCAAGCCCCAGTGAAGGCTGGGATTTTCTCTAGCAGACTTCTATTAATTTCCCCTGGTCTGTGGGTAGTAAGACCGGACGCCAGTGTGTATTACTGCGTACAGTAGAACCTCGCTTAACGAGCATAATTCGTTCCAGAATCATACTTTGTTAAGCGAAACACTCGTTATGCAAAGCAATTTTTCTCATATAAGTTAACGTAAAATACGATAATGCGTTCCATGTAAAAAAAAATACTCCAAAATGCTTTGTATAACGTTTCTTCAAAGAAAATGACATACATATTGTTAAGGATAGTGAATCGTCTTCATCTTTTCTTCAAACGAGGAAGGAACTCACCTGGAATGCGAATTCGATTTGGAGAAAAAAAAATCTTAATAATTATGATACATAGCGAATTATTTTGTTTACTAGAAAGATGTCCAGAGACATCTGTTTTTGCTGACGCTTCACAATTTTGCGAAAATGCGACACAGCATTATCATTAAATACATTTGCAACGCGCATAACTACTTCCTTATTAGGGTGATGCTTCTCAATGTAAGATGCAACAGTTTGCCATGCTTTCAGCATTTCTCCTTTTTCGCTAGAAGATTGTTGCTTTTCTGTTACCTCCTCCTCCTCCGACAAAATTTCCTTCCAAACTTCTTGCTGTGAAACACAATGCAACTCCATAAGCTTTTGAGTGGTCAGCTCTTGGCTGTGCTCTCCAACAAGCTCTTCGATATACCTGTTATCCACCTACAATGCCATGATAGTGGCCAAAGACACAATCTTGTTGACTACAGGTTCCACAAGTACTGTCTCGAACCCCTTAAAGTCACAAATCCACAACTCTCTCCAGCCAAAGCTTCTTCCAAGCAGAAGTTAAGGTTCTCTTGGTAACCCTTTCCCCCGTGTCGATCATCTTGAGGCAAGTAACGATGTGGAAGTGATTTTTCCAAAACTCTTTGAGAGTGAGGTTGGTCCCTTTAGTCACTTGAAAACAATGCTCGAAGAGTGCTTTAGTGTAGAGCTTCTTAAAGTTAGAAATAACTTGCTGGTCCATGGGCTGGAGTCACGGAGTGGTGTCGGGAGGCAGAAACTAGATCTTGAGGAACTTAAATTCTTCAGGGAGGTCATCTTGTAGGCCTGGAGGATTCATATACATATATCACAACAAAACACAAGTTTGAGTTTATATGTGATCACAAGTGACACTACGATGCTACTAGAACGAGTGCTAAACACAGACTGATGTAACATGCGCACAATGCGGGACTTCCCCTCTCCTCGCCACTCGTTATGCGAAACGTCGATCTTTAAGCGAGTCATTTTTTTACAATTTATTTTACTCGTTATGCGAATTACTCGTTATGAGAGGTACTCGTTAAGCAAGGTTCTACTGTACTTGAAAAATCCCTTGGTGGTTGGAAATCGAAAAAGAGTAGCTTAACGGGCGTTGCCCGGACAAAATTCCGAGTTGAAAATATACCCAAAAGCATTTCAGGAACCTCGCTGGTGAAACGAAGTTCGTACACTGAGGGGTGATTCTTCTGACTCAGGCTTGAGTCAGAAGTCGAACGGAGCTTCTATGGGTTACTATCCTAGTGTCATGATGTTGATCCGTCGGCTAAACCTAAACCTGAGTATAGCTGATGATGTTCCCAGGCCGAAAACACGACCCCAAAGCCATTATTGTGCATTCGTTTGACAACGCAATTTTCTCAGGTCGAGTCACAAATTATTAAGAATGTGTGTTCGTGAGCCGATTTGTTCGTGACTAGAGGTACCGATGTATGTTTCCTTCCATTCAGTGATCACCAGTTATATATTTATTGGGCTGCCAGTTCTGCAGGTTTGCTAACATCACCAAGAATTTGGTTGCGTATCCTTTACACGACGTTGCAGAGTCAAACCCCGTTATTGTGTAAGGCCGTTTATTATTTTCCTGAACAATTTTATGTCCAGTAGTTTGCCACTTCGTTGAGGTACAATGTGGAAGAGAAGAAGAAGAAGAAAGTTTGCCCCTGCTTACGAAACGGTCGGCTCTTGATAGCACAGTGAAGACTAACGCAAGGCGATCTGCTGCCAAATCGCCCACAGCTGGGTTCGAACCCGTCACTTCGACATTTCGAAGTCGTTCGAATCGCCTAAGTCACAGACGCCAACAACCCACCAACGCATGTTTGTAACCTCAATATACTCTATTCCTTCCCTATGTGAAGAAGAAGCTTTCTGATTTTTTTTTTGGGGGGGGGGGGGGGGTGGCTGTTATACTACAGTACTGCCCCCCTTCTCGTCCAACATAACTGGCACAAAGAAACCAGACTACAATTATAACCCATACTGCTCGCGGCAGGTTCAACGTGGTCGTATTTTTGTTATGTTTTACATAGATGGATGGATGGATCCCTGCCGCCCCAGCCAAGAATGTCGCAAGAAACTAGTTATTTTGAGTGTTTCCTTCGAAGTCGGAGTGCAGCTGCCTGAGAGGCGAGGAACCAACAGTCTGCAGGAAAATAAGCCAGACCCGCTGTAAAACGGATGCAGATGCAAAATTCTAGAACAAAGCCAAAGTCCAGAAATGGATGAACAACCTGGACTTTCTGTCGGGGGTTTACAGCCCACAAACCCCAACAACTTAAATCCTTACCCACATTAAACTGCAGGTTACCCCAACCTGGTGTGTGTGTCCCTGTCAAGGTGGCCTAGTTACATTTCTGAGATTGAACGGGGGTTTGCCTTGTAGGTCTGGCATCCAGACACAGTTTATCCAAACTTCATATACCAGCCTGGAATAAATGAAGAGGCGGGGACACGGTGGTGTCCTCAATACCAAAAGCAGGATGTGCGAAGTGCGAACAATGAAACACACACGGAACTCGTGACCGAATTCTGCTGCTGGCACACAACACAGCAGGAAAAACCAGGCCAAAGAACGCTACTCGGAAATCAATAATATTGAATATATCTTAACAAGGAATCTCTAGGTATTACACCTGTCGCCGCAAATTCCTTTGCTACAGCCATAGATTTTTTTCTTTCCGGCGGAATGCAAAGCGCACAGTACCGGCACCTTTATGTAAAACCTGATTTTTGTGATACATGCTTTGTAATCAGTATTTACTGTTAAAAAGAACTGTAAAGAAGAAAATATACTGCAATAGGGTTTCTGACATCGGGGGGGGGGGGGGGGCCTAAAATAATGTCTACAGTGAATATAGCATGCCTGCTCGATGTTGGCTCAGGGGCTTCATTGTGAGAAACTAACGGAACCCAAATTGGGAATAACAACATACTGCAATAGGGTTTAACTTGACACTGGGGCCCAGGAACCCAAATTGGGAATAACAACATACTGCAAGAGGGTTTTACTTGTCACCGACATCCTGTGTGTGCGTTGAACAGCATACTATAAGAAAGAATGGTTCTAGTAACAAACTTGGGCCCAGGGAGACGTGATTGGACATACATTCATGAGTCTCAACCTTAGATGCGTTAGTCTAAGTGGCAGGAGTTTCATGTTGTTTTCTGTCGACTGCTTTACAGGCGACCAAGCGTGCTCTATATTACAGGATGTAAGTGGTTTTAACGATCCCATAACATGCACAACTGATCCTTATCCTATCCCCCCTCCACAGACTCCGCCTAGGTCACACGAGAGAGTGCATTCTAAGTCCCCGTAGTTTGAGACTTCTTGACATTTTCCGATAGCCCCTAAAACGCTCAGTTCCTCCATAAACGCAACGGTACCTTTGTCGTCGCCCGCCAACGGTGACATCTGAATTGAAACTATGGCCTACTTAAAATCCGAGTCGGCTGTCTTATATCTGTTTATTTATATTTTGTCTTATATCCACCAACAAACGCTACTTCTGCTTAGCAGTGAAAACGCAATGTCGGCGGCCGTTGCTCAGACAACCAATTATTAATACGCAACTCATAAAGCTTTCCGAAGACAACCATACACCGGAACACCCCTCTAACGTAGGCCGAGTCTGAGGAAGCATCAATGAAAGGTAAGCTAATGTGTTGCTGTGCCCAAGTTCGTTACTACATCACAAGATTATTGTGACACAACGCCAGGTCAAAGACGGCCAACAACAGTGTGCTAGGGCAAAGGTCACGACTGGGTGAGGTTAGTAATTAGGTCCCCGCGCGTGTCACCACAGGGGCGGTCAAGAATAAGAATGTAGTCTACCAAGAGGAAGACATCCACACAAGTGGGAGGATAACATCAAGATATGGACGAATAGAAGTCGCACACAAAGAGCAATAGACAGAGAGTGCTGAGTTTGC